TTTTTCCATAAATAGTGACTTATTTAGCGTCTCTACAATGATATCATTTTTCTGGCTACTTGTTCCCACTTCTATTTTACACAGTCTTAAGAAACATAAAAGGAGACTGGTTTTGTCTTAGATATTTTCTTGAACACTTAGTAAGTTGGATATTTGGATGACCGCTGATTGGTCATGCAATTTCCCCACAGGTCTGGTCCACGCAATTGCCCATCATTGCATTAGGCAGAATCACTCTTGTATTTAAAGCAGATTGTCCTGTTTAGGAAACAGTTTCAGTATCAGGAATTGCTGTCATTCCGTTTGTTGTTGATAAATTCATTTTCTGTACTAAGATGTAATTATGTTGTCCTTTTTCTCAATTGCCCCTTAAATGCTTATGTTTATAAAACCATTGGTGGGGAGGGGGCGGTGAGGGGAAGGTTAGGGTTTTGGGGTTTTTTTTTGCTTTTGTGTGTGTGTGTGGTATTTTGGGGTTTTTTTTTTCTTTTTGGTTAATGCAGGGAGTCAGTCACTCAAGATTCAGTATTGGTCCTTGTTTTTAAGGGCCACCAAGTACAGTTTTATTTCCAGCACTCACACATGTGCAGAATTGTCTGGGGAAACTCTTAGGGAGTGAATTTTTTTTAATTTAAATGTTAGCAGTGATACTTAGAAACCCAAACAAAAAGCGCTAGATAGAATATCTCTTTTAGGATAGACCTACTTCTTCTAAACCCAATGAAGGACCCATGAAATACTGTGAACTGCTCAGAGCAAAAATGTAATGAAAACAGGTAGTGTGAGCGTCCTCAATTACCCTGTTTTTGCAGCTGGAAACTAGAAGGGCTTTGGGATGAGGTTCAGTTGACGTTCCCTGACCAGGCTGTAAACCACATCAAACCGTGAGCTTGTCAGGCAAGGCGACAAGGTCACAACAGTACATTAGGGAATAATGGAATAATGGTATGACATGGTATGAGAATCAAATATTATATTTTTAAAATAAGATGATTTTTCCTCACTTTATATCTGTCTTTTTTGCCTTGATGGGGTGTGCTCATGTTGGGCTGTTGGAACCTTAAAGTGAAATTAAGACAAGAATCTCCTGAATTCTGTGGTAAAAATTAGACAAGTGCAGAGAGAGAGATAGAGAGAGAGAGAGAGAGAGAGAGAGAGAGAGAGAGAGAGAGGAGAGACACATTGTGGGTACAAAAAGGGTGTGGCCATGGGAACATGATATACCACACTTGGCTTCCTGATCCAGTTGTCAAAGACCCATCTGACAAACCACGGTGTGTATGTCAGTTTCACCTGTGTGGGTCCATCTGGAGATGGTGTTAAATAGTGACTGATAGCATACGCTCTGGGGCCAAGTATAGCTCGTTTGAATTATAGCGCTACCACTTACTACCTGTATGTACTTGAGTTACTGTGTGTAGCGCAAAGCCTCAGTTTTGTCATCTATGAAATGGGAATAAAAGTTTACTTATATGATACAATTTTTTTCAAATTATACTATAGTAATGCACAGACCCACATGCAGTACCTGGACCTGACCAAGTGCTTACTAAATGTTGGTTATTATTACAGGGTCCTTAAAGGATGCAAAACTTCCTAACAGGATTAAATTACATATACAAGAATCCCCATAAAATTATGTGTGTTTTATTGCCTTGAAAGGTCACATGTACAGGCAGTTATAAATGTTACCCTTTTTGTGTATATTATCATTCACGAGTAATTTGCAGTAAATCCAAGAAGAAACATGAGAGACAGGTGGCATTACTGCTTATGACTTCTTATGAGACAGTGGTTACCAGGCTCAGGGCTGAGAGAAACTTGTTCTTTTTCTCCATGTTGGTTAGACTTGTAGCCTCTAGATCATTGCTGGCCCCAAAGCTCTTGGTGCTCACTCTTCCTGTTCTTGGAGGTGCAAGGGGTCTTGGTTTTTAGAGGCCCGTGAAGCGTGGGCCCAGGGCTAGGGGGTCCTACACGCATACTGTGAACTGCACACTTCCTGGCACTTCTCTGCTTTCACTCTGTCTGTGGTTTACCAGATGTCTGATAGTTGGACTTCTTTACCTCTACGTGATCCCTGTGAGCATAACTATGCATGGGCTATAAAACACGAATCAGAATTCTCCACCAATAAAAGTTCTCTCAGGATAGCAGATTCCCTGATGGCCTTTGCCTGGGCTGGTTACCCTTCCACAGGTAGAGAAACCACTGAGTCCAAATCCACTGGTTTTCCATATTATCTTCCTCATTTCATTTTGGTGAAATTCAGGAAATTTTGAAATTAAATCATCTCTGAAGTTGTATGGTCTCCGTAGAAATTAAATCATTTCTGAGTAGGATTTTCTAAATGCCTGCTTCGTTCCCTGTGTAGTTCCAATTTCCTGAAGCTAATTTCTTCCCTCTAATTGTAAGCACTTCGAGAAGAACTAGCTTTTGCAACTCAGCATGAGAGCAAGTAACTCATTTCTTCAGGCTGAGTTGAATGCAGAAGGCTTCCCGAGTCTGCCTGAATACAACTGCTTAGGGTACAAAATACAGTTTCCCTGTCCTGTTACTATTATTATATTTTTAGTGCTCAGGTTCCCAAGAGTCAAAACCTTGTACTTCATATTTCTGGGGACGCTTGCCTTGGTGCAGAGGGTAATGTGGGAAACCTATTTCTCTTCTCTTGTTCCCCCAAAGGATAAGATTTAGAATATGGAAGTTTTAACTATGCGTTAAATATTATTTGAAAATCACTAGGTTGATTTAGACATATTTGTCAAATTCTAGTATAATTTTAGGTGTCTTGCCATTTGCTCATGAGAAAATAAAAACATTTTCACGGATTCTGCTTTACCATAAATAAGTGGCTGGAATGTTTATTCAGACTGAGCTTTTGTTGTTGTTGCTTTAGCCCCTCACGCAGTAACTACATGGGGAAAGGGGAGACTGTCATCACTTCTCAGGCAGAGCTAGAACATCTTACGTTGAGACTAACATTCAGAATTGCCCCTTGATTCGTTTCCTAATTTTCCTTGCAGTGGTGCATTGAGTCTACTGAATTATTCTGTGGATTCCGTATTCGTCAGCAGAGGGCCAAAGCGTGCTATTTGGTTTAGAAGCAAAACTCCCCTGCTTCCAGGGATGCATCACACAACCTTCCTCTCTTTCTTCAGAGTTTCCTGCCTTATCGGGCTCTAAATTGGTTCCTAACGAGTATTGCGTTAAAACAAAACACAGTAATTATGTTTGCATTGCTTTCGTATTTTAAAAATTCATGTGGTTCGGTTTTAATTTCCTTAATATTGGGTTCTTTTGTTAATGCAACCTTACAAAATAGCCTAGTCATAACTTGCCTTTCGTATTTAGTCAGAGGTCATAAAAAATAGGTATCAGACCTCTGTAGGACTTTCATCTTCCAGTATTTTTCATTTTCAAGCCACCAAGTAGGAGCTGTGGTTCGTAATTTAGCAAAACAGTGGACTGCCTACCACTTCTTCAGTACTTATGCACTAGAAAAATAGGTTAAGTACTTGGCATTACTTTGATTCAGCCGGTACGATAAAGTAAAGTAGACATTAGCATCCACATTCTAAGTGGGGAAACTTTGGGAAGTCAGTTTCACATCGGAAGGAAATGAAGGAGCCGGAATCTGAACGTTGGGCTCCCTCTCGTTAGGAGACCACCCACAAAAACATGTACATGGTGGTTGTGGTGGGGAAACTGTAGTATAAAGTGAAGCATTGAAAATTAGGTACAGTTGAATTATTGGGGTTAATCACTTTGTTAAATTATATAATTGTCTCACCACTGTGCTGTGTACCTGAAACTAATATAAATATTGAATGTCAACCGTAATTGAAAAAATTAAATAAATAAAAAGAAAATTAGCTGCAAGTAAGATACCAGACTCTCCTGCTCCCTAGGACATGCCAGTGTTCACCCGTGTGCATGTGACAGGGCACAGAGTCTGCCATGAGCCCCGTCACACCTCAAGGAAGGCAGTGAGTCATTGTCTCCCTTGCCCAAATGTGCTGACCCATCCTTTGCAAATATCCTTCTAAAATGACAGTGGTGGACAAGAAAGAAAATAACTGCACAAGTTGCAAGAAAATGGTTGTATTTCCTACTTAAGAGATTGTCATATCTCACTTTCAAGACTAAATTGAACAAGTGTCCCGATTAGAATTCCATGCATGCACTGAGTCAGAGGCCGTCCAGTATTTCCGTATTCTTCACAAAAGAACAAAAGTCTGTGACTATGTATTTGGGTTTGTTTTCTGTGTGTTTAGATTAGCACTGCAGTTCTCCAAAGAAAGTATCTTTTGTTCGATAGTCGTTGTCCTTTTCAGTGCTGAGAGCCATGAGAAATAGGTACCCAATAATTTCATGTTATAACTACTTATTGCAAATTCAGAATCCCCCATCACTGTCTGTGACTTGGAGCCCAGCGTTGGGCCCTTGTACCACATTCTCTTTTTTTAAGAAGCTGAAAATGGGTATTTATTGGTTTGCGTTGACCATTTTTCCATATCCCACATATGTGTGCAGAGTGTTAAACGTTGCTAAGTTCTTTGTTAGATTACAAAGCAATTGCCCGGCTCTACATCTGAACGAGGGATGTTCCCGAGGCCTTCAGTTTTGACATGAGCTTAGTGTAATTTTCCAATGATGTTGCAAGCTTTTACAAAAAGGACAGCGGGGCCAGAATTGGGAGCCGTTTTGTTGAGGAAACTGGAAATCCTCCCCCTTTTCAAAATGAAATTACACTGGCTAATCCCACAGTATTCATTATAAATTTAAGGTTACATGATCTGCCTCCCTCAGACGAATGTCCCTTCTCCATGTTGAGAACAAGAGCAGCATTTGGCATTTGCTTAGCCCAAACCCAAATCGCTGACCCTTTGTTTTTAGTACTTTGCCATTTTGCTTTTGCTTTTTAAATTTGCTTGTGACTCTGCTTCCCCCATCTTTTTCTTTTTTTTTGGTACAATGATTCTTACCTTGTCTTTCCCCAGTCCGTTTCTGACCTGGAGAGACGTGCAGCATGTTATTGTCAGGACTTCCCGTGCAGGACATTTGAACGCTAATGACTGGAAAACCAATGCTGCTGGTTTTAAGGGTGAGAACTTCTTTCATATTCTGTCACAGGCAAAATATTTTTCTTCCCCCCCACCCCATTTTAAAAGGAGAGCAGGAACTAGAATGCCTCAAAAGAAACTTTCAATTGTGTGCTAACACATGGAGAGCTAGATCTTTTGATAAATCAAAGGCAGATTCTTTTTAAAAAAAAATTAAATAATACACATAAGGCAGATGTCCTTGGCTTCCCACATCATATGTTAATTTCTTAAAAGATAACCAACTCCCAAGTATAGTCACCTATGGGGCTCCTGATTGGCTTATTTTCTGACACTGATTATCTGAGTGCTATTTGTAATAATGTATTTAAAATTCCTCACCTTCTGTAGTTATTTACCTTCTCTTCAATAATAATTGGTATATTTTGTTGACTGCAGTACTATTAGTTGCTGGGTCATGCTTTCTATACATTTTGTTTTTGTTTTGTTTTTTGCAACTTCTGCAAACAGAAAAACAGGCATACTTCTAAAGCATTACTTTATATGAACTAAAACTTCTTATGAATGTGCGGTCTGTATGAAATTGTGCGTAATATATTTAAGAGCTAAGTATTTTCCCTATGACTGATAGAGATTACAGTTTCCTCAAACTGTCTTAGTAACAGTAGCCATTGTGTTTGTTGTCATTCATAACATATGATAATAAAACGGAAATAACTGGGTAAAGCAGATGTCCTAAAGTTTACTCAATTTACTCACGTTTCAGATGACCTCAATTTTAATTCATTAACTTAAGTTCAACAAAGATTACTCTTTGTCATATCTTCGACTTAAATTTACTTTCAAATAATCTTATTATCATGATATATTCCTATGGATGAAAAACATTTCATAGCATAGGAAATATGTACTTGAAAATTGAGCTTTTGGTCTTCAGATCATTGGTTGCATGCTAAATAATCCTGGACAAATCATTTAATTTTTCTGGGCCCTAACTTCTGCGACTTAACCATTTTAGAAGCTGAATAACATTATACATATGTTATCTTACATATGATTTTAATATGGCCTTAGTGAACTATACCCAATGTATGCAAATATTCATGCTGGAAATGTAATTTAAAAATTATGTGCAAATAGCTTGTTATTGTCTCATGCTTAGCCAACACCTATAAATATACCAGGCAGGCAGTCCCTATAAAATAGTTGTTTGATTAACATCTTCACTGAAGACTTCCCTCTGTTTTTAGAAAAAGAATATCCCTTTGTTTCTGAGTATTATCAAATACCTTTCCATGCTTATAAACTATACAACACAGCAGTGTTCAATGAACTTTTAATCTAAAAAGTTATACTTGTTGGGGTCACATTCTCTGAAGCCCAAATCAGGACACTCAATCCCCAAATAGCAATTGTAATACTTTAAATTTCTATTGTTCTTGAAATCCAGTTATTTTGCCACTTGTTTGTTTCATTTGATTAGCTTCCACATGCTCCCGACTCCTACTATATAAATCCATAAACTTAAGCTTGGCTGGTTCAACACTGCAATGAACTTCTCAGCAGAAAGTTCACAGACTAAGTACATTGACCTCCACGAAGCTGAGGAATCAACTTTAGCCCAAATAAAAGTCTTAGTTTTACTTATTCCTTTTTGGCAACTTAGAAAGAGCAAATGGTTCTAATAAAAAACGCAACTCTTTTGAAAACCTCTGTTGGTTTTGGAAAGGGGGAAACGGAGGATTTAGACTAAATCTCCAGATCCAAACCCGATTCTGAAGGGGGCTGTCCACTACTGCTGGCAGGGAGGAGAGAGCATTTTACTATTGCACGTGGCAATATTTAGTATAATATTTCACTCTCCTCTTAGCTTGCTGCCAAGAGTAACAATTAAAGTTCGCTTTTTCATAGATGAATTACCCTGAACGGTCTGGACTCCCAGTGGAATTGTTTTGTAATTTTGTTGATGGCAAGCCCCATATTTCATCTAAACATGATCATAATAAGAAGAATTTTTCCAAAAAAAAAAAGAGGAGTGATTTTCTTTCCTACTCTAAGCATTCCCATTCCCTCCCTAGTGTCCCACAAATAAAAGTGATTAAGACAGAGGCTAGCAGGGGAAGCCATGTGCTTGGGGGAAGGAGAGAATGCAGGTCACTAGGACTGGAGAAAGATGGGCTGACTTCTTATGAAATAAGAACTGAACGAAATAGCTAAAATAGCTAATTCTTGGAAGAGGTCCGTGCAACAAGAGCTCAGCGAGAGCTCGTATTCTAAATTAGGTCAGCCGGCTCTTGCCGACCTTCCTTAGCAGGAACACATGGCCAAACATTCCTCCTTAGACAAGAAAAGGGAAGTTGCCTCCAAACAGAAGCGTGTAGCCCCGGGTGCTCTCCGTCTTCCCAAGCACTCAGTCCCGACGCCCAGTGGGATGTGCATGAAATGGACTGCAAGACACCTGTGCTGCCCGGGGCTTGCTTTTGTGCCATATTGGACAATTTCACTTTGTTTTTTTTTTAAATGAGAATAATTTCACAAATTGCTTGGTAGGTGTTCTTCTACAGAAGGTACAGTCAGTATCAACATCAGAATTCCCTTCTCATCAAAGGAGCTCAGAGTAGAAACCAATTTGGTTTGGGGTCTCGCCATCGATAAACTTGAGAATCTTATCACTGGTAACTGTAGAGAAGGGAACACCCTAAAGTGTAACCTCTTACCAAACACTGCCAAGTCCATTCCACACAAAGTTCTCACATTTCTTCAGATATACCCACATGTGGGCCTTGCGAGGCAGAGAACAGATGATCTAGGTTGTTGAGACCTCTCCCCGAGGCAGACTCGATCCATCGTTACTCATGTGGGTTGGGACTTGGAAAATGGACAAGATTCCCCCCAGAAGCAGCCGCTGGCTTCCTGATGACTGGCACGGGCAGGTTCTCATTCAGGAGGTTGGCCTCGCAAAAGTGAAAATTGTGGCTCTCGACCAATTCGTGTATGTGTTTCTCGGAGAGGCTTTGCCCTGGAGTTGCAGAATGATGAACCGGGTGCACGAAACCTCATCCTCCTTCCTCTGTGCTTTCGCTGTCGGTGCCCTCTATAAACAATCCCGCAGTGAGTGTCACAGCAGAGGGAGCGAGGTGGCAGCCACGCATCGACATTATTACGCTAGTGGTACCTTAATTTTTAACCATTTTAATGGAACAATTATTCTATCCTGCTGCTTCTTTAGTAATAATAATAATTATTATTATTATAATCAACTACCTGTTAGAGTATAGATGAGATGAGTGTGTTGTTTATTTTTGAGGATTTGGTTTTCAAAATAAACATAGAACAGTGAATACATACCTATAGAAACTGACTAAACACTAATTTGATTGTTCTAGCTAAGTTTCAGACACCTTTTGACATTAAATGCCCTCTGGATGTAGTTTTTTAAAAAAAATAAATGGAATAAGTAAATAAGTATCATGCACCTATTAAAGAATATACTTGAGATTATGCATGAGAATAGGAAAGTATTTGTGTGAGACCAGATGAACGGGTGTGATAGGCACCACTGCAGAACTACACTCCAAATTCCAGTGTTTTGCTACTGACCAGCATTTGCAATGCCAGGAGATGACTTGGCATTTAATTGTTTGGTGTGGCTTTTCCCCCAGTATTACTATTTTTTTTTTTGCCTTTGATCGCTTCCCTTTCCTCTGATGAAAAGTCTTTTCTGTTTTTTTCTTTCCTCTCCCTACTCCCTTGTGCTCCTTAAAATGTACAAGTCAGCTGTAGAAGCGAGGGCTTTTGTGACCTGGGTGGTTTTCTTCATAGAGTTTAACTTATGCGGTCCCTTAGTTCATTTATTCATAACTATCTCCTGAGCACCTTCAGCATGCTAGCCCAACCCCGGCTGAATGAAGTAGAAGGAAGTGTCGGAGGCCCCGTGACGTGGCTCCATCTGATCTGGCCTCGATGTTGCCTGATCTGATCCGGCCGCGGGAGAATTCACATACAGAAACCGACTGGCACTGCTCCTTCGTTTCCCCTCCAGTCAAGCCCCAGTGATCTGCCAGGTCATGTTAATTGTCGACTGTAGTTTTCCCATCATATAAAATGTATCCTAACCTCAGCAGCACAAAGCGTCTAATGTAGACACCATTGTGACGTGTGATGGGCGTTTGGACCAGCTCTGTGTGTGTACATTGGCTTGTAGAGCCATGATGAGGACTTTAATTCTGCATTCTTCAAGAATACATAGCTAGTATTATTTCAGGAAGAATGTAGCTATTTGTGGTAATCTACCCCTTCTTTCTACTGCTTTAATCAGAGGGACCCTCCCTCCCCCAATCACCTAGGCTCTGAGCTGACTCTCACCCCCCCAAAACCCCATCCTTATCTCCGGTTTGTGGGTACAGTTATAATTATAATTGAATGCGTGCAACATCCGTGCTTTAGTTTTTTTCAAAGTGTCTGTATTTGGATTATATGACTGTATACAGCTAAATGCTCTTAAATCTAGGAGCAGGAATAGACGTCAGATAATAAATTAGGACCTTCTGTCATCTTTACTAGGCGAAAGAATGAAAAAAATGTCATTGAAAATCAACAATGACAACTAAGTGAGCGAGGTTACCACGCCTTCCATTTCACTGCCCTCCCAGACTATGTAAGTCTCTTTTTTTCTACCAGCATGTTGCTGAAACCTCCCCATCCCCACTGACTCTTCCTTTGACCACAACTAAACCACTAGATTTTTTTTTTTAATTTTCTAACTGATTTCCCACCATGGGAAAACAATTGACAGTCTAACATGACTTTTTAGCCTCCAAGGCCTTAACTTTTAATAACCTTTATTACCTTTCGTTACCATCATTTTATTTGCACTGGTAGGGCTGGTAATTGTAAGATGTTCTGATACATTTTTAATACCTACCTGTCTTGCTTTGTAACTAGTTTGTAAAATAAGTTTGTAGCACATTAAAAATAGTTAGAAGTGCTGTAACCATTAAGCATGCCGTGTGTTGAAACTAAAGATTTTGAAATGTGGTTT